GTCTATTGATTCGGTTCCTTGACATAAGTTGAACCTAACCTATTTTATTTGTTATCTGTCCTAATAGGTGGGTACTGTTTTATACACATGTTTTATACAATTTTATACACATATTGCTTTAATTAATTCTTAGAAATCGTCAGTTTTACGTTACGTCCCACAAGCCGGCAAAAAACGGTAAACACTACACATTTTAATATTTCATCAATAGCTCATAATGATAATAATTCTGTAATTTAAATATAAACTGTTACATATATGTGTATGCATGAAAACTATTTAAATGAGTACAAAATATAATTATTTACGTAAAATGTACGATAAAATGCTACCGAACGTATGACAACTTAACCGTACGGAAAACGAACGTTCAATGGCGAGAATTCGATGTAATCTGTGGTAAGGATTGACGTAAATATTATAAAAATAATTGATTTTCAATAATTTTTTTCTCAAAAAGTACGCGTTTCCGCATATTGAAATTTTGCGTGTGTGTTTACAACAGTGTAACCTTTCTGTAAAAAAAATATCATATAATCTGAGATAGGGATTGACATAAATATTGCGAAAATAATTGATTTTCAATAATTTTTTTCTCAAAAAGTAAGCTTTTAATCATGTTGAAACTTTACGTGTGTGCTTATATCAATGTAACCTTTCTGTAAAAAAAAGAAAGGAATATTATTTTGTCATCTAGAATCAGATATACTTAATATAACAATAATATCTTTTCTCCCATGTACATGAAACCGGTAAAAATAAAATGTGAGACAACTGTTACATAGTAGAATATCATTGATGTTAATCAATAATTACTGCTTCTGTATTTGATCAGCTGGAGCTGATTTGGAGAATAATTTATAATAATTTCTTTATTATTTAATATATGAAAAGGCAGATATAAGAAAATGCTTACACAAATATGTAAATACAGTTTATTGACATTGAAGGCATAGTCTTATCTCATATCTGTTATTATTAAAAATGTGCTTTTAATTCCTATATAATATAGAAAAAAATAATATATTGATAAGAATTATTATTTAGTTAAGACACCTTTACAATTGTCATTAACTTCTTTTCAGGTGGATCGCTTAGAACAAATCTGTATGCCTTGCAGGCTGAAAGCTTGCAGAGACAAAAAGTGTATGGATATTGAAGACAACAGTTTTATATCATATCTCTTATAATTGAAAATGCCTTCTGATTGCTTACAATATCATAAATGTATATATTACCATCAAGTTATTTTCAAAAAACCTTCAGAAATATATCTAACACTGAAATGTTTCTACCTATGTACGTTATAAACAAAACATAAGAAACCATCGAACCAATTTCAATGAAAATGTTTGTGTGTGTTTGAATGGATCCCTAGATGGTTTATATTTACATTTGGACCCGGTAGATGGCACTGTTGTCGAGATCCACAAACCACCAGTCCACAGCTGAGGCGCATCGCTAGTAATAAATACATTTAAATTAGGCCTGTGTTTTTGTAATCCTTACACAAACAGTTTACCTCACTATTTATCATTGTGTAATAACATAGGTAAGGCATGTTAATTCCTATTCATTTTATTATGATGTATACTACTTACTAATCAACCAAAACATATTAAAACAATGTCTTGACACGGCTCCTGTCTATATGTCAGTCAATCATCAAAGTTCAAAAAATTTATTAAATTAAGTTTGTATAAAAGGGGTTATTATAGTATAAAGGAATTTATGGCTGACAATAACCCATACACAACATAATTTGTTCTGTATTGTTAATTATGACATACATGATTGTAAGCTGGCTTTTTTTTAAAAGACCCACTGGGTATTTTGCTGGTTCTCTTCAAGTCAGAGGTTTTTTCCGAACCAGTGGTAAATTAAAAAAGTGACTTTCAATAAGTATTATTTATAATCTAAATTGAATAAAAGGTTTCTGTTTCTGTACCTACTACTGTTTATAGAATACTTAAATAAATTATGATTTACAATAATAAATAGAGTTACCTACATTATATTTTGTTTTTTGTAATACAACCAGTTTAAAACATTTCTTACTGTGTGTTGGTAATATCATAAATATAAATAGACATTATCCCTTAGCCATCTTGGTATTTAGAATTACACTCACAATCAATCAATACATGTCAAAAAATAGAATCCATACGACGTTTGTGCATAGACAGGCACTATGTTTTGCCGGAACTAGTGAAAGGTTTTACATCGATTTTAGATTAGATTTAGATGAGATTTAGATTTAGATTAGAGCTTAGTTTTATATTCAAGTGTGCACTATTTTAACTTATAATACCGATGAACACTACTAGAAAATCGCGTTCAGTTTGTTTTTAGGTTATTGTTAGATTCACATTTTATTTGTTAATTTCTCAGGACTCCGTTTAGATGCAGTAAAACTAATAATTTTATTGTAATCTATGGATTATAAGGAATAAATCGACATGCATTTCATTGATAATCTTTAAAATTTGTAGTGGGCCCATTCTCCATAGAAAAATTGATTATCTCCTTTCGACAGTCAAATGTCAACATGTTTTATTAATAATTTACTACCGTTTTAAAACGATGTTCCTCTTTCCGGAGCAGAAAAGAAGAAACTCCGCAGGTATCCTATTATCATTTTTAAAAAGCCAATAATATGACATTTTCAATCAAAATTCAAAGGTAAATAGACCCATAGGCCATAGGCATAGAGCAACACGGGCCAACGGCGCGGCGGCCCGGAGGGGAGTAGTGTGGACATACAGAACTGTCTATAAATTTTTTGTGGGGGGGAAATCTGCGCATACAAAAACAATCATCTGTCACTAGGAAACTGACACATAACAATTAAAACAATATCCTTTCAACTTCACACACACCGATATACATTATAATTTATAAGGACTCGGATCAGTCGTTCGACCGATCCGCAATTTGTATGAGGGCGAACGGTCTGTCTTGGTTAATAAATCTGCGACTACACGACTGTTTAAAAAGAGGTAAATAGCAATGTCATTAAAAATTACTTATTTATATGAAATATGAGGGGTAAGGACATCTTGTTGTAAATTTGCGTGGCAGATCACTTTTTTCGGAAAAAAAACTGAACAATTTCGCATTTTTGTAGGACGGCGATTCAGCCGCGGGACAAAATTTAGTCTAGTGACGATGGGGCTGCATGTTTATTGCATCTTTATTGTACGCATAGGACCTGGTATCAGATCACGGTTTCGGATGATGTTAATGCTGTTAGCCTTTTGGCTTTTACAGCTTCATAGGTCTCACGGCCCGCGGCCTGTAAATAGTGAACTTAAATCATTTCGCATCGCTATTTTCGTAACGATGACTTCTATGGCAGTGTAACAGTGCACGTGGATGAGTTATCTAACGGCGAACAAGGTGTCGCGCGCCCCGTGCCTGAAGTTACAAAGACGGACCTCGACCGAGTAATTACCGTTGCGCCGTGATGCAGTATACTTGTCCGAGAAAAAATAGTGTTATAACTAGACTACAATTACGTTGAAGTTTGACGATCTGGAATTAGCGGCTATTGCGATCGCTTTGGACGATCAAAGAATGTGATAAATCTTCAGCTACAAGCCGGGATCGAGTTGTCATGCGTTGTCCGTTGCTCGGCCGTCACTCGGTTTCCGCTCGGTATAGCGCGAGTGTGTCCATGGACCCGACACGGTCGAGCATGAGTCATCCTTAATTCGTGTCGTTCCATGTTCTGGGAGGTGAGAGCCGCTCGAGGACGCGGGTGTACGGTGTGTACGCGGTGTGGAGGGGTGTGCGGCGGGCCACTCTGCGAGCTCGCTGTGTCCCATCCGTTGTCCATAACAGTGGCATTTGTGGCATTAGGTGAGTGTGTAGTGTCTATGTGTGACGGACCCGCGACGTTTGTGTCGTTGCAATCTAGCGCAAACGCAAAGTAGACTTATATACCTATACTTTGACAGAGTGGAATGCCCGCGTATGGCTACTCCCCTCCGGTCCACCGGTGGCCAGTGTTACTTTATGGCCAATAACCATAAGTAATCAAAGCTTGTTCTATGGTAAAATTACACAATAAAACAAAAATATATGTAAAATTAAAGCTAATAATAAGTGTGTTGCAAACCCGAGCATCTGATTCGTAAGAGAAATGTATGACCAGGTGATAGAACTCCATGTTTACTTTAAAAAAAGTCCCGCTGGGTTTCTTGTTGGTTCTTCCCAGAACAGAACCTTTTTTTTTTGAACCAGCGGTAAAGTAAAAAGTTACTTTTAATAAGAATTACTTGTGATCTATATTAAATAAAAATTATTTTATTCTATTCTTACCTTCCAAGCAATGCAACCAAGCAGCACACAACAGTTCCGGTCTGATGGATATAGAGAGCCAGTATATTTAATAATTTCGAATTCCGAATTTCAGCCACGGCGGCCAGCCTCAACGGAGGCTAGCCATCGGCGCAGGACGGGATTATAGTGCCCAAGTGTATGCGCAATCTAATCCTTCACGCTCATAATCCGATGGGACGGTAAACCGACACGACCGAAGACAGATCAGGCGCAGGACCAACGGCCTTACGTGCTTTCCGAGGCACGGGGGTGGGACACTTGTAACTTTCTGACTCCAGGCAGCTACCGAAAATTTCTTGACGGAAAAACTCAATGGTTGGTTTTTTTGGCCCGACTCGGGATTCGAACCCGGTACCTCATGATCAGCAGTCGCACTACTACAACCACTGGACCTCGTTGGTCAACCGCCAGTATATGTATATGTACAGGCTATGAGTCCATCTTAGTCATCAACGGTGACAACGCATTTGCAGATTTATTTATTTGATGTTGGTCGCAGGTGTTCATGGACTGCAGTACCCTCACTTACCATCAGGCGGGCTTCGTTTTCACAAAAGGGAGAGCCAGTACACGTACAAGCAGCGAGTATTTCATCTTAGGGTAACAAAACGCAGCAGAAACCCATACTAAATAAAATAACCATATGTATTTCTTACCTCCACCTTCATCTCCTAGAAGATAACCCCAGCCACCGCAGCCATGTTGCTTGCCGTCCGGAGTCCGAAGCAATGCATTGGAACCCGTCCCTGTAATATTAAAATCACCCTGGTATAAAAAGAGAAGAACAACGATATGAAAGTCCTCAGTTATGGAGTGTAGAGGTAAGGAGTACAGACTCTGTATAAAAAAGTGTTCGTAGGAAGCGTTAAATAAGGGTGGCGCCACTGTAGCTACAGTCCAAATTTTAAATAACTTTTTATAATTTTTTATTGCACACACTTTCATCATAATTCTTTTTACAATAATTATTTTATTGCTATCAAAATTTTTATTTTCAAAATCACTCTCAACGTATTTTATGGCGATTTAACATACCGCGTAGCTACTCGAGCGCTGTAGTGGAGAGTTTTTAAACTGTTTTTTTTTTTACTGCTTACGAATGTACACATTTTCAACTATTCTCCTACGGGAGATTGTCCTCCTTACGTCAATACTCTATGTTCTCAGTAGCTTGCTTTAACGTTGATACTAGCGCCATCTCACAATCAGTAAAAGCACTATTTTCCCCACTAACTTACACATTATATTCAAAATATGGCGTTACTGCCGACATTTATCGTTTATACCGAAGTCTAAATCACGTCATCAAGGTTTTAAAATACTGCGGTATATACACAGGATAATTTCAAAAATTATCGCAATGATCCAAACCATGGTTCCTTGAAAGAAGCTGTATGTTAAATTATATAATGCAAATTAGTTTTCTATTAATAACATATCCTTTTAAATTGATTTACTATATACGTAAATAATACTAAAGCAAGTTGATAACGCCCTTTAGTGTATTTTTCGGTAATTTATGATCCCCATGCTATCTACGACAGCGCAGGAGAAACTTTCCTCGTTTAATTACCTAATAATTTGTCAGAGTGGCTCATCTATTAGTATATTATCCATGGAGAAGAATACCAATGACAACTTTTCTGCCACCAGGGCGGCGCCTCTTAGTTGTGAGGTAAAATAGTTGACAGATTCCATGGCGGGAGAATTTAATTATAGAGAAGTTAACATTTCTGTCCAACCATACCACCACCTTCATAAATTACGTTTCGGCAATCCTATTTATCACCAATAATGTGTATTAATTTTAGTTTTCTTTTTTTACTTTTCTTTTAATTGCTACACCTACGACAAACTCTCACCACTCCATGGGTTGACTGGTAGAGAATGCCTTTAGGCATTAAATCCGCCCTTCGTATCCTTTTTTTTCTAAGGGGACGCAATAAAGTTTAAAAAAATCCATGAACCCGCTTATGGAATATTGGCGATATTGGTAATTCGACCCCTTTCGTCAGTCTCACTTCCCCAGTACGTGTGCATCACATGGGAAAACACTCTTGAACGCGTTTAGTACAGAAGGTATGCAGAGCGCGCTTTCCGTCACCACTTTGAGTATTAAACCAAATTATTGATTGAATACTCAAAGCGTCACTATGACAAGAAAAATTTCTGAGGTACAGCTGGCATGCATCCGGCAAGAGTGCGAAGCGTACAGTCACTCTCAAAATCTGCGGGGTCTAGTACAAATGTATACGTATAGTGCTTTCCTGCGTGCGTTTATAATTTTCTGATAGAAAACCATTATGCGGGCTGTACACGCTCGTCTCGTCGCCTCGCGTGCCTCACGTCATGTTAGGCTCGACACGAGAACACACCATGTACACACTCGTATCATTTGAACTCCGTATACCCGCTGAGATGGACCTAGATGAAACTGTTGCTGCGTTTTGCCATTGTGCTATTATTTATTATAACTTTTTACACATATATCATAAAAATAAAATTAATAAGCCATGACCGAAAGAGACGCTATCTTACCGTAACTCATTTTCATCGCGAGACTTACCGAGACCCTTTGACTTAGGTGCAAACACTTCCGAGAGCGCATGAGGGCCACGAGACGCGACGCGACGCGACAAGAGCACCATGTACACACTCGTACTCGGCCTGTCTTGTGGTGTCTCAACGAGCGTGTACAGCCGCCATTATAACGTGCGGTCGATTTTAAACGCGTAAAATAAAGTGAACAGACAAATCTGATTATATCATACAAAGCGCTTTTACCAATTATATGGTTGAATATAGATCACTGACGATATTAATTTGAATACGAACAAAACTGTGCGGGTTTTTTGTAGAATAACGGAACCCTATTAAACAAGGAACGCATTCGCTTACTAAACTACCGTGGATCTAAGTTGTTTAATTATTAAAAAATCAACTTAAATATTACAACTCGACATTGAATTATAATTATTTCCGATTCCTTGTTAGCAGGTGACCTTAAGTATCTGGTTCTTTTAGATCTATTTATAGTGCACATATCGAACGCGAAGCGGAACTATAGGTCACCAAATCAAAAAATCGCAATCCACTCAATTTAAATCGCTTCCTCCAGCTTTATATTGCACTTATATAAAAAAGTACACCAATAGCAAGACATTTCAATTAATACTTCTGACGTAGTTATAAAATTATTTATTTAGATCATTATTAAAAGAAAGTCAATCGAACATAATTTCGCTTGGTCGTCAGTTAGTCGATATCGATGTAAATAATATATTCGACAAACTGAATTTATCAGTCTGTTTTTTTAAATTAGATTTTATAAATTGTGTATTTTATTTTTTATAATTTTGATTTTAATTCTTGTGAAGCCTTTTGAATTTAACTTTTTTTATTAATTATTTGAAATTCTTTTTCGGTAACAAAATACGAATCACCAGTATCAAGCAGTTAAAAAAATTTTCGTGTTAATTAAACAGAAACAATATTTTTGTAGCTTTAAACGAAATTCGTGTTTCGGTAATAAAAAATGTAAATTTATTATTGAAAAAATTACGTGAGCGATCGAGGTGTCCACTTTTGGACTAATTCATTTTTGTACTGCATTTATTTTTAATGTTTCATGACTAGTTTTTAAAAAGACTGTTAAAGATAAGGCGGCAGATGTTGTTCTGCTTTTTCCTACTAGTATCATACCAAAAATTCAACCACAGCGCCACCTATCAGGTGTAGATTTTGTTATTTGCAACTTTAGCACTAAAACACCATAAATAGTGAATATGTTGCTAATAGAGGTCACTGATCCTCTTGAGTTTCTCGGCATACCTACAGTTGAGTGCTAACCTCAACTTTGGCGCTGACATATAGTGGTAACCACAAACTGGGTATAATAAACAAGGTGAAGCAATACTTCGCGCCTGGTCAAAGTCTAACTTTATATAAAGCTCAAGTCCAAACATGCATGGCGCATTGTAGTCACCTTTGCGATGGCTCAGCAAATAACAACTTGCAACTTGAAAAACACTTTTTTTTACACTTTCATTTTTATTTGGTTTTAATGCAACTATGTCCTATCACGAGCTTAATTTGTATCTTTGTATATATTGACCGGACATAAGCAATAAAATTGTTGTCTTAAACTTTTGTCTTATATGATATATCTCAGATTTTTGTAATTTAATCTTAAAGACATCGACAAAAGGTCAAGACGTATTCGTTTCATAAACGTAAAAAATATTTTTAAAGAAAATATCCCCGGTTGGGCATTAAGGTATTGTAAGTCACGATATGGAGCAAAAAAACGAACATGATTTTGGTATATTGTGATAAGAATAATGTATATTTACCAAATAATCTCTAAATTTTATTATTTTTAATAGATTGTTCTAGAGAAAGAAAAATTATTGCATTCAGTGCCCTCTGTTATCCAGTAACGGCACTATTTATTTACTAATTGGTTAGTAATTGACGACGTGCCTAAAACGGATTTTTACCTTATAATTAGTAGCGTCACCTAATGGGGAATAGCTGAAATGTTATCCAAAAAAGTATTCAGTGTAGTATTGCTATATTTCGCTAGAGGGTGTAACACACACGGGAGCTCACAGGTTTTGTATGTAAATGTTCTATTATAATTATAATAAATATATATTATAATAAATATATATTATAATAAATATATATTTAAATCTCTTTGGCTGAAATACTGCTGTCTAGAATAAGTAAACTTAACATTTTGTACTTATTGTTTAAGAACCTTGTATAATGGGCAAAAAAATATTTTTGTTATTATTAAAATATTTTTATTAAATAAAATAAATATTTTATATTTATTAATAAAATTGCATAAAATTGAATATTTGAAAATATTGTATAAAAGAAAAGAAAGCCATTCTCGGAAATGTATTCGTACTTCTTCCAATTATTATATTTAAAATTCGCAAACTTCCCCTAACTATATCTTATCGACCATTTTCATTGTGTAAAGGTGTTTGCCCTGAAACTGTGTCAAAACACAGATACCCTGAAAACTAAAAAATACTGATACCCTGAAAAGTTATATTATTTTGAATTTAAATTGAACACATTAAAATTAGTAGTTATAATGCAGCTATGTTGGTTGTAACACGAATCAAAATGCAGAATACGTTGTCACCCCTAAGAACTAAGATTGAACGCACAGCAGCATTAATCTGCTATTTGTTATTCCATCGGTCTGGATCACATAAGCAGAAATGCAAAAGTCAAGGGCAAGGGTCGGAAGTTATCTCGCGCCCTGGATACTGAGGCTGGCCTCATTCCGTTATATTTTGCGACACTTAGCACAATTACAAATTCGATTTATTATTAAAACACAAAATCGTTTTTTTTTTATATAGAATAGGGTGAAAAACGTGCACACAGTCCACCTGATGGTAAGTGGATACTGTGGCCCATAGACATCTTCATCAATCCTCGATTTAGAATCAAAATAGCGATGCGTTGTCACCACTGAGGACTAAGTTTGAATGCCTCGTTTCCGGGAAAAAGGAGTCCCCTACACTCACACATACACACACTGCGTTTTTATTTTTATTCTTATAGATTATTGTATAATACTTATTGAACGTCATTTTTTATTTACCATTTACCACTGGTTCGTAAAAAAAAACACCCGGTACTCTATTCTACATTCACCATATTATGGTCAGTGTCTACACATAGTGAGCTTACTGCATCTTGAAGTATTGCATTTTATTTTATTATGTAACAGTTCCCAAGCAGGAGGTAGTACCCAGTGGCCTCATCTATGGAAATTAGGACAGTTATCAATTCAATTGATGATAATCTAACAGCTTATTAATTATAATGTACAAAAGCTAAAGGTAGTCGGCCTAACTATAATATCAGGACGTCAAACACCTCACCCCTCCCCCCAACCCCGTGATCATTGGTGTTTTACTGCCAAAACGTCGTGAATTTAAAGGAATTTAAAAATAAGTTAAATTATATGCGACAAAATTAGTAAAAGTACCTTTATTCAATGTCTTAACGCAATATGTCTGTCTTTACGAGAAGAGGAAGGAAAGGAAACACGTCTGTATTTTCTCATCATACTTTGTTTTTGCCACCTACCATCTGGTGGACTCTATGACCTACATTGCTTGCCGTTAGGCATGTTTGCCGCCCTTTTAGAAAGGAGTAGACTCTTATCTTGAAGGTATCTTTAATCTATCACCTGCATCCATCGATTTCCTGCATGTCTTAGCCGATCGTAACTCCATCTAGAAGATATGAGATAGGCAACATCGCCTTCCTAATAACACCTTCCTAATTTGGCGGCTTCTGACACAGTGGCTTAGCAATGAGTTGCAGCGCTAAGGGCCACGGGTTCGATTCCCGCACGGAACAAATATTTTTATGAACAACAAATAATTATTCCGGGTCTGTATGTTTGTCCTTATGAAATGTGTGTATGTAAACTTCACAACGATTTTTTTTTTAATAGAATAAGGGTGACAAACGAGCACACAGTCTACATGATCGTAAGAGGATGCTGTGGCCCATAGACATCTACACTTTTCCTCGATTAAGAATCAAAACGCAGATGCGTTGTCACTTCTGAGGACTAAGATGTACTTTCCAGTGAAAAACGGTCTCCGGATCTCTACACTCACCATACGAAACACAACAGTCTTGGATTATTTATCATCAACCATCAACATAACACAAAACATTTGGGAGAAGAGAACCGCGATACAAAGAGGGAAACCAAGAGAGCGACATACTACTGTAATGAATACCCTAAGACGGCAGTATTAAGCTGCTATTTTACGTTGGTATTCTGCGAGAGTGTGGTCCTTACGCTATCGACCCGACCCATTCGTGCTACAACCATAATACAACCGCAGCGTGGCTCTACCACTTATAAAATATATATACAGGAGAAAATCCTAGTGTGGAGGTAATGTTAAAAAAATTACAACTACAAAAAAAATTCCACCACCAGTCAATCACTGTACGTTTCACTAGGAGTTTTCTTTCGCGTACGACCTCTCTGTGGAATAGTTTACCACCGGCGATTCTTCCGGACCGATACGACTTGGGGACCTTCAAGAAAAGAGCTTACTCCTTTCTAAAGGGCCGGCAAAGCACCTGCAATTCTCCTGGTGTTGCAGTTGATCATGGGCGGCGGTAGTCACTTACCATCAGGTGAGCCGCATGCTCGTTTGCTCCCTCTCCTATAATAATAAAAATTGCGGTTGTCGACCCGCCCGACAAGCACAAAGTACATAAAAAATAATACCACATAAAAAAATTAACTCAAAGTAATTGTACCAGCAATCAAAACCATTCCTCCATTCGGCGCACCAGTGAACAACGACCCGGCCGTGTCTGATGCGACGTAGATAGCGCGGGTGCTATAGCTGTCCTTCTCTAGCACGCGGGCGGCTAGCTCCGCGTTGCTGCTCTCCTGCTCGCACCCGGACAGCGTCAAGCCCTGGGTGGGATTGGTAATTGGAACTAATAGAGGTCAATTTGGCTGCGTTGGAGTTAGTTATTCTAAATTGGATACTATTTAGACAATATATTCGCATGTTTAAGACCAATTGCAGTCTTAACAGCGTATTGGATTCGAACCTAGAGAAAAATTGTATTACGACTGGAACACGAATTGGTCAACTTGCACGATGCTGCTGTGTTTTGTATGGTGATTATAGAGAACCGGAACCTTTTTACTGGATCCGTTGCATCCCATCTTAGTCCTCAGAATTGACAACGCATCTGCATTTTGATTCCTAATCGAGGATTTTTTATAACATTGAGTGACAAACGAGCACACAGTCCACTTGATGGTAAGTGGATGCTGTGGCTCATAGACATTCACATTTATCCTCAACTAAGGCTCAAAATGCAAATGCGTTGTCATCCCTGAGGACTAAGATGGAATGTCTCGTTTCCAGTAAAAAGGGTCTCCGGTTCTCTACACTCACCATACGAAACACAACAGCATTACTCTGCTATTTTACGCTGGTATTCTGTGAGAGCGTGGTACTGCCCCGGTCGAACCGACCCATTCGTGCTGCAACTATGATATTGCTGCAGCGTGGCTCTACGACGTAAAATAAAATAGAAGTAGATATCTATGGACCACACAACATCCACTTACAATACTTCAGGTCGACTGTGCGATCGTTTGCCACCCATATTCTATAGAAAATTTTGTCTCTCACAGTTATTAACTGACTTATTCACTGTGATAATGATCTTAGAGAATTGAAATTCGTTTTGATTAGGTATTGTAAGCACAGCCAGGGTACGATAACGGGACCCCACGTAAAGCAGTGGACTGTTAAAGTTGCAAATATCGTCTCAATATTTATAATAATAGTATCTCGTTACAGGTCGAGTTTCATTTACGAGAGGATTATACAGCAACTACTCCGCCGCACAGCTCCAATGCGCGTTGGAGGTCTTCAAATCACTTTAATCATTTTTTTTATTAATTAAATTAGGGTAACAAACGAGCACACAGTCCACCCGATGGTAAGTGTATTTTATCTCTGTACTACTTTAAGGTAGACTGGTAGATAACGCCTCAGGCATTAAGTCCGCCTATATACATCTAATGTGTATACTTCATATAAATAAAAATAAATATAATAAGTGGATACTGTTACCATTGAGTTATACAGCACATAAATCAATGCTGTTAACCATATACATCTATATCTATTCTCGATTAAGAATAAAAATTTTGATGCGTTTTCACCCTTGAGGACAAAGATGGGTTGCCGCGTATCCAATGGAAAGATTTTCCGTTTCTCTACACTCATCATACAAAACACAGCAACACTAAGCTGCTATTTTACGCTGGTATTCCGTAAGAGTGTGGTCACCACCAGGTCGTCCCGACCTATTCGTACTTCAACCACAATCTAGCTGCAGCGTGATTCTACCATGTACAAATCTAGACTGAACTGTCAAGGGCTGATGAAATAAAGAAGCTACAAAATAAGAAGATGAAGGGAACTCACCAGGGAATCTAACGGTACGTCAACCGGTATTCCGGCGTTTTCTTTCGCGGCGTGGAGCATGGATATTATCCTTTGCGCACATTTTTCTACGCCCAGAGCCCAGTGGTTAGTCCCTGGTCCTTTGGCTTGACCCAGCACTTCACCGTTCCGGTCACAGATGACCAGGTTCGAGTGGGTCGCTCCCCTGGTGGAAAAATATAATGATCTAAACATAACTCAAAACACAGACACCACCTCCACCTTACCGTTAATGATACAGCTTACATAAAGTCCACTGCTGAACATGGGCCTACCCCATAGATTGCCTCATACTCGTAGATATTTGCCATAGTTGCCACGCTTGGCAGGCGCGTTGCCAACCACAGGTTTGTGTAGTTGTTACTAGGAAGACGCTGCTGCCCATCTCCCGGTCTATTCCCATCCCATCGGATTATGAAAGTGTGGGGATAGAGAGTGCACTTGTGCTTGCACATACACTCGGGCACTATAATCCTATCCTGAGCAGATGGCTAGGTTTTGTTGAGACTTGCCGCCATGACCGAAATTCGATCTTCATTACATTAATACTTATACCAAACTATCCATCCATCCACCCTAGGGTTGCCACTTTTTTTAACAAATATATTTACCCAAAAAAGAAGCAAAAATATAATCGCTTTTGAGAAATTCAGGAGTAAAAAAGTTCACATAATTTTTTTAATCTTTTTGTATTTTTCTATTTATATTTGTTATTGCTCTTTGCTTTGGCCATTAATAATCTAACCAGCTTACCTTCTACCTCACCTTTAAAATAATTACAGGAGTCTGAGCAATTTAGATTCATATTAAAGTAAAGTACCGGGATGACCGACTTTGCTCGGTTTTTTTTAAAAAAACAAGCAATTAGTTTAATTAAAATTTTCGTATTTTTAAAAAATCCTATAAAAAGGGCTAAAAATAATAGATTTTCTCACGAAAAAAGGGAACTTGAAAAAAAAAAGGAAAAAGTCGGACCGAAGACAAGACGCGAACCAAGGCATTATGATTTCGCGACCGCTCGATATCTACTGAAGCTATAACGATCACACACAGTGTAAGTCACGGTGTTAAAATGTACCTTCTTATATTGTAGCAGTTTTTCATTGCCTGAAAACACGGACAAAAATACATTTTCGAAAAATAAATCCTAGCTAGATCGATTAATTGCCCCCGAAACTCCCTGGACACTAAATTTATTATATATATATATATATATATATACCCGCCACCCGTACTATAATAAATAGTATCGTAATATATACGAGTCAATTGTACTATAAGTATATTATAGAAAACTAATATATTACGAAAAATTGTATATTTTTATCCTTATTTCAACTGCATGTGTTAATTTAGTTAAAAATTTGTTGTTAATCCTATACCTTTAAGCGAACAATTCTTGTTATATATATATATATATATATATATATATATATATATATATATATATATATATATATATATATATATATAATATTATCGTAATATATACGAGTCAATTGTACTATAAGTATATTATAGAAAACTAATATATTACGAAAAATTGTATATTTTTATCCTTATTTCAACTGCATGTGTTAATTTAGTTAAAAATTTGTTGTTAATCCTATACCTTTAAGCGAACAATTCTTGTGTATATATATATATATATATATATATATATATATATATTAATGTATTGTATATATATATATATATATATATATATATATATACAAGAATTCTTAATATATATATATATATATATATATATATATATATATACAAGAGTTGTTCGCTTAAAGGTATAGGATTAACAAGAAATTTTTAACTAAATTAACACATGCAGTTGAAATAAGGATAAAAATATACAATTTTTCGTAATATATTAGTTTTCTATAATATACTTATAGTACAATTGACTCGTATATATTACGATACTATTTATTATAGTACGGGTGGCAACCCTAACCCATCCATCCATTAGACCTATAAAAGTCCACTGCTGAACATAGGCCTCCCCCATAGATTGCCTCATATCAGTCCTAGTTACTATGATTGGCGGCGAGTTTTGTACGTGGCAGAGCCACGCTATATTATGGTTGTAGCACGAATGGCTCGGCTCGACTGGTGTCCACCACGCTCTCACAGAATACCAGCGTAAAATAGCAGCGTAATACTGCTGTGTTTTGTATGGTGAGTGTAGAGAACCGGAGACCATTTTTACTGGAAACGAGGCATTCCATCTTAGTCTTCACGGGTGACAACGCATCTGCGTTTTGATTCGTAATCGAGGATAAATGTAGATGTCTATGGACCACAGCATCCACTTATCATCAGGACCACTGTGTGCTCGTTTCTTATTATTTTGAGTTGTTAGTAAGAAGATGCCGCTGCCCATCTTCTGATTAAGTTTATCTCCGTCGTCTCCTACGACACCCACGGGACGATATGGGGTAGGGATATTACGCCCCTTACGCCCCTACCGCACGGTCACCTTCTCCTCCTTAGTTTATTAAAAAATAGTGCTAACATGCTCCAAAACATATCACATTTTCATAATATTATGTTGAAATAGAGACAGTAGAGCCATGTCGCAGTTATTTTAGTAGTATAGTTGTAGCACGAATGGGTCGGCTCGACCGGGAAAGGACCACGCTCTGACAGAATACCAGCGTAAAATATGCATAACGTATGGTAAGTGTACAGAACTGGAGAACCTTTTTACTGGAAACGAGGTATTCTATCTTAGTCCTCATGGGTGACAACGCAGCTGCATTTTGATTCGTAATCGAGGATAGATGTAGATGTCTATGGGCGACATCATCCACTTACCATCAGGTGGAATGTGTGCTCGTTTGTCACCCTTATTATATAAAAAAATCGAGTGTGTCTTTGTTCTGGTAAGCGAAGTGTAGCGTATTTTTTTCACTAAATCTAACACCGTCTTGAGTTAAATATATACGGTTATATCCGTCTACTTTGCATATTGTCACTCAATTATTAGCTACGTGATTACGATATGGGGAAATGCTACACAAATTGAAAGAGTACTGATTTGTCAAAAAAGGTCGATTAGAATTATACATGGATTGCAAAGATCGACATCAGCTAGAGCCTATTTCCAAAAAGCGAAAATTATGACTATCGTTTCGTTATATATTTATAGATCGCTTCTAGAAGTGCACCAGGAAAAAAGTAAACTACCAATGAAGAAGCACGTACACAACTACAATTCTAGAAATCGCGAAAGATTAGTTGTTCCAAGAACCAGATTAGTCAAAGTGTTCAAGCAAGGTCTTGCAATAAAAATTAAAATGTACATTAAATTGCCAATAGAAATAACAAGACTTTCGCTAAATGCGTTCCGACAAGTGATAAAAACATTATTTTTAAATCACGTTTTTTACAACATAGAAGAATATATAATGAACATTCATTTTCTGACTTGTTTGACACATAAAATAATGTACTGTAAATGAGATGTATTTTATTTATATTATTGTAATTGTATAATTTGTAATTTTAACTATATTATTGTATCTATATAATTGTAATTGTAATTTTAACGTACCAATGTTACGTAATGTAACGTAATGGCAAATAAATAAATAAATAAAATAAAATAAAATCCGCTTCTACCAAGCAGCGATTTTTTGCTTCACGTCATATATGCGCTCCGTTAGTTTCGTAGCGTGATATCCGGTTAGGACAAACTGATATTCGTCCCAGCACGTGCCATTCTAACGGTGCGCACAACCCTCGGTCTATTATTACCTGAAGCTTGTCAGTCTGCGATAAGGGCCCTTGCCATTGCGATATGGTCCTCAAGTCTGGTTGTCCAGGCTGGGATGGCACTACTTTGTCTAGTATCGCGTCCATACATGGGAAGTTTGGTGCCAATAATACGACAAACTGCCACTGCGGCATCAAAAATAATTGAGTCAATTACGCAAAGGTCCCGGCTCTGGCTTCTAAGTAGGTCACCAGCGTGGGTTAAGAGCCCGCACGACAGCTCGATTCCGCTTGCTTGCGTTCATTGTTTATGACCAACGCATGCGACGTGCTCCACCAGCGGCTGGTGCCGCTTGCTGAGACCGAGATGACGGTTGCGGGGGGCCCCTAGATGGTCTTGTAGCGCCCCGTGCTCAGCTGGCGGCCCGCATGCTGTCACGTCCAGCGCCAGCTCCAGACGCGCCCTGGCGACCTCCAGGCAGTGGCCCATTGCGCAATATCTTTCTGTCCATCATCCATAATTTGTTTTTATTATTATCCTATTACTCCCAGGGCTTCATTAACCTGCCACCACACGGTAGGTAATTGTATGTACTGACCCGTTATCAAAAGTATTTTCTTCTTTAACAAAATAAAATAAAATACCTATCTGCTTATCGTACGAGGCTACGTCAATACAGAGCAACTACGAATATTATACGGGATCGACTGAAAGGGTATTGACAATCATTCAGGTAGCAAATTATTTGAATGCGCTATTAACCTGTGTGAGTTCACAATTGTGATTTACAAATGGATTTACCGAGGCTATATCTTGATGTACAAATGTGTGTTGGCATTATTATAAGTTGCGGCCCATTGTGTGAAATTTATCCAAACAAAATATTCACCATAAACCAAATTTTAGTGATTTTTATAAAATAAAACCTACAGCTAGTATAGTGACCGATAAAAAAAATTCGGATATATTATGTGAAATATTATAAGCCTTTACAGATGTTCTTTTTTTTTTTTTCAAAAGTTTTAATTGTATTTAGCAATATTAACAAAATAAATAATTTTCGTTTAACCTATGTCAATATTGTGAGCCAAACAGGCTATGTATATTTATATTTATTCAATCTCCGATACATAATCAATACTCCTCTTAATCTTCGATTAATTCAATCCTAGATTAAGAATCGAAATGCGTTCCCACCACTGTGTACTGGGATGGAATGCCTCGTTTCGATTATAAAAGGTCTCCGGTTCTTTACACTAACCACAATATGGTTATTTTATGGTTTTTGTTTCATGTTGCAGATACAACCTATTCTATTAAATCTACTTTTAGTGCATTTACACATATTTTTTTTATTTTTCCAACACTAAGAGAAAGCGTGCTCCTTAGAACACGCTTTCTTTCTTACTGCTCGCATTGCCACGGGGTAGGAGTCTGACTGAAAACCAGTC